TTTGCGGTAATTGCCTACTGCTCCTGCCTCTTCCTTTTCTTTTGCCCGACTGGTCCACCAGCCTTCCTTGTCAGCGCGTAGGCTCCGCCTTAGTTCACGTCTAACAGCCAGTCTTGTGCACAAAGCCAGCCAGGTGGTTTCTGCTAGATTCCAACAGGTTCACCGAGCTCTCGGATATACAGTGATTGGTGCGGTGATCATTGATAGTGCCTCAAGCAGGTGCTCCTGCATCGTGCATGGCGGCCGAGATCCGATTCCACTGAAGCTCAGTGTCATTAGAACAAGACAGCGAAAGTTCGATACGCAGTTCGTCTTGATAGGCTAGCCTGACCAAGGGCTGAGACAATTTCTCATTTGCCAATAGGAGGAGACGCTTGGTGCGCCTCCCGGTAAAGTTCAGGGAGAAACGACAGCGTACCAAAGCATGATCATATTTGACACAGGTACTCCAGTATGAGCGGCAAACTAGGATGGAACCACGCCACCTGTAACTTATGGCAATGTTGTCAATTTGGGTCCATCGCTGGCCAGCTACAGGAGGACGCCAAGTGACACTTCGGCGGCCAATGTGTCAAAAAGCAGTGCTATTAATGGACAACTGATGCTCCGCACACAGTTGCAGCACACGCTCGCCGTTTGCAGCCCCGTTCGGAGTTAAGCCATAATTACCACCCAGCTGAGCTTCTGAAGAGCTCAGACGCCCTACTTGTGCGTTCATATCCCCTGCAGGTACTATAATATCTGGACTAGTAGCACTGCGTAGTATCGTGTTCAGTTCGTCATAGAATGTGTCCTTGACAGCATTAGAACTGCAGTCGATGAAAGCACAAACGGAAATCACAAACAAACAGCGTTTTGTATTACTTCGTAAATCCACCATAGCTGATGTCGTCAAACGGACTGCACATAAACGGCTGTTCACCAGAATCCAATGAACCAACGATGGCTCAGCCTTGGGGCTTAGAATCATACCTAAACCAGCTTGACCCGTGAGTGCCGCATCGGCGTCTCTGGAAGCGTGCAAATAATAACGAAAGGATAAGCCGGGTGCAGTTAAATCAATAACCCCATTAGGGTCATTGATCCTAGCTTCGGACACACAACACACATCAATACCCAGTACGTCCAAAGGTATGTGCGAGTGCAGCCTGTTGACCTGTTTGTCTTAGAGTGCGAACGTTGAATGTCGCCATGGAAACGGGATGGCGTGGCCTTATAAGGGACTTCTGCCGATAGGCGTCCGATAGGTGCGGTGGGACGGTAGCTGCAGATGGTTCTACTCAACTGGCGCTTCGGCTGCTGTCAATTAAGCTGGGAATTATAGAAGGCAGGTTAGTAATGCTGGTCAGGAAGGGAGTAAGAGAAACAGATGGAAAAGAAAGAAGCGAGGCGTCAGCAGTAGCATGTTTTCGCTTATCAGATCTGCTGTATGCAGCAGATAAAGCGACCCTTGATAATCTGCGCGACGGCCGATGCAGGATGAAGTTTATGTTTGAAGAAAATGCCACGGCGCCCAGACCTAGACAAGGGGAAAATTAGGGTCCTCATCCAAAGCCTTTGGCTCAAAAGCCTCTCCTCAAGGCAGCGGGGAAGTGGCAATGATTTAGTTTACAGTAATGGACGCTATCGCATTTCCAACCCCCCACCTGGAGGACCAGGAGACTGAGTTTGTCTGACTTCTCACCATTGACCAACCTGGTAGGAGTAGGTCTCAAGGTGCCCGGAGGCATCACCCAGTATAGCTCAATGGGTCAGTGAGGTACGCAAACCGTTTCACCACGTTAAACTCCAGTCTCGTTGCGACGACCAAGCAAAATGGCGATGCGCAATTCAAGCAATCAATTCCGACAATCATTTCAAACTCCGCACCGGTTGTCTAGGTATACAATGTAATAATACTTTTATTTCGTACTTTACACAGGCAAACCGGAAATCTCCACACCGTTACAATTTGTCGAAACATGAAGAACCATTCCTGCGTCAGCCGACTGCGACCATAACGAAGACAAATTCGGCCATCGGATCTCATTGGTGTGCCTCGAGGATAGACCAGAGAAACGCCATCTTTTAGTTAGTTCTGTTTACTTTAACAATTACCAATCTCGAGAACACTCGATCAACTGATTTCTTTATTCTGAGCTACATTTTGCCAAAATATATGTACTGTAGTCATATCAAGAGAGATGCATCTCGTTTTGCCGAGAATTATTCAACATGATTAGTAGTGATATCATCAATATGCAGTGTGGAAATGTGTAACCCATCCGTCAGAGTGTTACTACCAAAGCAGACTGCAGTGGATTTGGGCATTGACATGAAACAATGGAATTGTGGTTTAATAGAGGTAAAAAAGCTAATGCTTAACAAGTCCCCAAGGATGGTTCTGGTGAAAATTCAAAGTATAAACATTGTTAACAAAACGGTGTTTACACAGTGAACTCACTGAAGTATGCATTTTATAGTCTGTAAATTCAAGATAAATCCATGAGAAATGACGACAAATTGGATGTTGGTGAAAATCGTGTCTCCTACTGTTGTACACATACAGGAGGTGAAAAACGTGGAACAAAATCTGAAATTTGACCACCAGTGACATCTCTTGGACAGTTGTGTTTATCCATGGGTACTGGGTCGTGTAACTTGGTGCAGCAAAATAAGTTCGTGGTTAACCCTAGATTTGAACTCTGCCAGCGTGGGAGCACATATGACAGATTCCGGTAGGGCATTCCACGTGCTGCAAGTGCGTACGGAAAAGAAATTCCCATGGCATACTGAACGACTGTGCTGCTGTGCCAGCTTGAGATGGTGGCCTCTCAAATTTCTGTTTTGTCTGAGCTATAGCAAATCGTGGCACGTGTGGTTAGGATCACTCAAAATCGGGTAAGCCATAATGAGGTCCCCGCGCAATCGCCGATGTTGTCCGCTGAAGACCCCGAACACGCTAAATTATACAGACCCTTGAGGTCTTTGGTTGCCCGGCGTTATGTTCCTTCCGAAGCGGTGAGATCTCTCCTCAGCCATGTTTGCCGGACCTGCACTGCGTATTCCACATGAGGGCGTATGTATGAGCCGAGTTGTGGAAAAATCGAAGGGTCGAATCGCCCGAATGCACGCTTCAGGAGACCCAGGTGTTGGATGCCCCTCTTTGACGCTGTTTCAATCTGCTTCAAACATCTAAGGTCAAGTTAAACAGAAGCTCCCAGGCGCTTCTCTCCAGAAGAGGTTTGAAGATCCTGGTTGCCGAGTTTGTAAGAATACACCAACTTGTGCCATGGATGTAGCATCCTACAGTTGTCCACACTGAATCGAAGTGGAGAAAGAAATGATGGCCAAAAGATATTCGGATTATGTAAAATTCACCTAGTATTCAAGTCAACAAGGCTGTTGATGTGTTTGCCTTTACAAAACTTTGGATCATGCCAGGAGAATTTTGTTAATTGTTACTTAGATCTAAAACTACAGACTAGCTTCTGTTGAATCCTATTGTGTCTTTGTTTCATAGTGCTACTGGTCAGACCACAATACCTACTTGAGTCCAAAAGTTGATGGGAAATAAAAGGTTTATACAGAATGGGGAGATGAAGTTGGTAAACAAACCGAAATGATGATGGGCTACGACGCATCTCTGCTAGGTCATTTTTACATACCAATTCTTCCGTGATGTTTCCTCTGAATTGTCTTTTTAACAGTTAACAAGCCGTAAATCTGCTTACGGAAAATTTCGGGTGTATGCATTCGCTCAACTTGGACCGTAACTCGTCCGTATCTTTGCGTAAAGATTCAGATAAAGTTTCCCAATTGTCTGCATTTTGTCTCTTTCTACTTTTAGTAGGCTATGACTTGTTCGAGTACAAAAATTTGGCTCGTCATTACTTTAAGTATCCGGGCTAAAAGCGTAGACTCGTTTGTTTTTCCCTGAAATTTCCCTACAATGATTTTTAATTATTTCCTTGTTTAACGAAGAATGAAGCACTTTATTAGTACATTTATTAGTGATTGCTCTGTTTGAGAATTAGTCTGAACTTCAGCCAATATATGGTCCACCACAGCAAGCGGGGAACTATGTACGCTACTCTGTCTTGTCGCCTTATCTTCTACCCGAAGTGACCATGACATAATACCTCAGTTCCCATGAACAATTTAGGTTAATTGTTCTTTTAAGAATAATCCTATGACGGTTGCAGCATTTTTGGAAAGTTTACAGTATCTCAGTTATGTTATGGAAAAAGCCGCGCAAAGCAGGCTTTTTCTCCAACCTGGCCAGTTGATTAAACTTGATCGATGCCTAATGTTTACCATCTATGGCCATTGCCAAAGAAAATGTCCACAGTGGCAAAACTGACTGAACATTCGCTTATCTGAAGCACGGGCGACAAGCTCAGTTGATGAATTTAGCATGTATTGAGTGCTCTCAGAATTGGTCAATATTGCAACTCCCTTCTCTTTTTACGTTTTACCCCGATTGTCACATTCGTTCATGTGTATTTCGCCCAGTGGTTACCTCATTGCTTCGTTGTTTTGCACTTTAATACCCAGACATTTTTATCTAATGATGGTTACTTTTTTACTTTTCCTTTCTCCAAGCTTCTACAGGTCGGCAGAAATGAGTCTCGTTATTTTTAGCACCAATACATTACGCTGCTCTCTTTCTATTATTGGAGACATTGTGGTGTGGACCAACTCCGCGTAACTATCCACAAGTCACCAGCTTATCCAATCAACGACATTTACTTATGGTAGACATATGGTCGACGGCCATCTGAGCAACGAGGTCAAATCCGCGTGGGAAGACATCAAGGTCATGCATCATCTCTCCCTTTCGTACCCATGCCTATATCGCCTTCGGCTTGCTTTGGACTGGTAGCGAATCAAATTTGAGAGTAGGCGAGTACTTTCAACCAGATTAGCCTTTCTTTCTATAAAGCGATTGGTTCTGCTTATGGTATGGTCCAACATGTCAATGCGATGAGGAGAAACCCGGACTAATCGATTGTCCCCATCTGCGTTTACTTGTAGTGGATTGTAAAGCGTGTTTTCGAGTAGAGTCAACTTTCATGCTTCGGTTATGCGCCCGGCTCGTGTTAGGTGGATAGTGTGTTTACAAGTACTTATCATTGGACTTTACACCGATCTCCGAACTATTTGGTGCATTTATCCTGATGAGCAATTTAGTGTCCCCAGGCGATTGGAAGAAACGGTGTGGCCCGAAAGGCTCCCTCTGTGGATGGAACAAAAAAGGATTTATTCAGGTTACCACCCGTATGTGAAAAATGACCAGCTGTCGCAACCGTACCAGGATATCGGTGAGCGCGTCACAAGTTTCACTTTTATTCTTCCTACTGACCGATCCAAATCTCGTCCTCCTTCCGGTAACAAGCCTAATAAACTTGAAATTTCGTTTTCTAACTGTAGCCTCCATTAGCTTTCCTTTCAATCTGAAGCGGCATGGCTTAATTATAAAACTGTCTGCACTAGAAAGGCAGTGGTTATCAATCTCACCCGGCTGTAGTTGTTGCATACCATTCTGGGCGTATTCACCAACAGTGAATCAACCAACAGTAATAGTATTAGTTGACGCACCCGACTTTCGCACTCCTGTATTTCGCGGACAGTTGTAAAAGTGAAGCAGTTTCACGAATATCATTACACTGCTTTCGCAGTCCATCATAAACGTTCTCAATATGAGGTGAGGAGGTGGCGAAAATGAAATATCCGATGTGCTAGTTCATTGCTTGCTCTTCACAGAGGTAAATGTTCAAGTTCGAGTCATTTTAGGTGGATTGTTTGTTTGCTGGTGAGCAGAAGATCGGTGGCTTGTTTTGGTGTACACATTGCGAATCGACATGACGCAGAATAGATATTCTATGCTATTTTTAAGTTTATGAATTCTGATTGTGCCTCCTTTCATACATGTGTATAATTTGGTGGTGATGCAAATAGCGAAAACGCCTTTAGCATAGGTTGGTTATATTGTAGCATAGTTGTTCGCTTGACTGTGACATTCGACTTCAAGCTATTCAGCACCGGCCGATATGAAACCATCGGCGCAGAAGTGTTTGTGATTTAGTTGCAGATGCTGGCAATAAACAACCCCAGGCATAGATCTCACCAGTCAACACACTGGCTAATTTGCAGCATTTGGATGCTAGTAAGTATATAAACGGACCCTAGTTTAGGGGTGCCACCAAAACGTTGGGACGCCCAACTTCCTCGTCCCTTTAACCTTTCTTTGTTACCCAGTGGCAAAGTATCTCGTTACTTTGCTGACTAGGCGCCAGTCTTCCATCACAATCGGATTACGACTTTCTCATAGTCTTACTGAACCAGATTGAGAAGCTTCGGTTATTAAGTTGAAAGAAAAATGCAGGTAGGAGCGTAGACGCACTTTGATCACTAACCGTCAGACAAATTAGGGCAAGGTTGCGATCTAAATATTGAGTGTATCAACGTCCAAAGCAGCTCACCTACTTCTATGCAATCACATTTCGTTCCCAGACCCAAGTTTCTCGCAGGGATTGTTACAAACGGAACCAAGCTCTTCTAACAAGTAAGCCTCCGAAATGTTGAGGGAGACTTAAAACCTTTTTGTGTCTGCTTTTGGTCGTTACACTCACTAACCACAAAAGACTATCTACATCATATAATATTTTAAATTTTCGTATTCAGATAAATAAAGATAACGGTAATAATGCCACGAGAATAACCGCTAAGTACTTCGAACAGGAAACATAGACAATTGGATCATTCATTGTCAAAGTTAATAATCTTACCGAATGCCATTGGCTTTCAACCCTTCCGGTCAGATGCTAAACATTCTAGAGGTACTTACGTATTGGATAAAGTTAAATGGTCGTGCGTTTGAAAACGTGGACCACTGGTTGACCGCGTGTCCTAGATTACAACGGATGGTGTAGTGTGCAAAGTAACTTGTGCAAGGCTGTATCTCATCACAGATAGAAGGATCATGTTTTTTTCCGTAGTGCTAGTTGTTAAAACATTTCCAGTTGGTCCCATCGTCAATTCCTAATGGTCTATGGTATATTGTGGATAAAAAAGGTAGAAGCTTGACATGTCCCGCCGGATGATTGAGTAGGAGTGAGTAAACTAAGGACAAAAATGGCACTAGGAAATAGTAAACAATCGCAAATCGCCAACTTGCCGATTACAGCATTCCCATCCGTTTTATGTACTATCCAAAGTTATCGTCTGTGGTTTCCGTGCAAAAATGAAGGTGTGTTGGTTTGTTTTTCTTGATGTTTGTATGGGTCGGTTAGACTATGTGATGTGGTGTAATATGGCCAGTGCACTGTTGACACGTGCTTTAAACACGGCTAACGTGGGGGTTGAAATTACAGCTTCTGAGAGAGTATTCCACGTATGGCAAACACAGCGAGAGGAAGTTTCTTCGACATTCCAACCAACAGTATTGTTCTGGCAACTTGTGGTGATGACCTCCCAGTTGGCTGTTGTGACTCAACTTCTATCGGTGATGGCGAGGGTGATTAGTATTGTTCACTATTTGGTAAGTCTTGATTAGGTCACCACGCAAATGGCGATAACGTCCGTTGTAAATGCCAAGCAGTCTGAAGCACTGTTCGTATGACAAGTGGCGCAGCCCCTTGACATTTTTGGTCGCTCGACGTTGTGGAAGCTCCAAGACCGTGAGGTCCCGCTTTAACCATGTAGTTACATAAGGGGAGTGCATGGGTTATGCACTCGCACTCTTGAATTCGAAGGTGTAGCTTAATTGATGTGAATACGTTGTCACTGCGCGGTACGTACTTTCAAATGAATGTAGCTGGTGAAGAAGTTTGTTAAGGTGTTGTACATTTCACTTCTTAGCTGCCAAGCAACTATGCCGTCCAGGTTGTCGGATACTCCATTAGGTTTTAGTGTTATAGCGCAGGCTAATAGATTGGGTAGGCATTATGAAGACGGGTACCTATTTTATCTCAGGCTAACACAGTTTACCCAATCAATTGATCAGTCTGTTTTATTACTCCTGTACAGGATCTAAAACCGTAGATGGAAAGGTTTAGAGCGCAGCTTTTAAACTAATGTATATCGAGCTACACTGAGCGACTAGCCCTGGTACGGTGTGACGTAATATCCGCCACATGACAGCCCGGATAGTCTGTGGGAATTCAGTGTGATATCTCTCCTCCTCTGCTCTAACTGCAAATGGCCTGATGATAATCTTGTGCTGTGTAACAAGTGGTGCTACGGAAGAGTAGCTGACAGCCCGTTAGATCAGCTAACGGCCAATGCTTAAGTTCCGCCCCATCGTTTGCCAAATAACAAGAATGCAAATGCTGCTCCCGGTTGGAAAAAATGTTATTGTAACTCCTTCATTAGACAGTAAGCATGCATGCGAGTTCCGTTCCACGCGTTTGTTTGCTCCTCGTCTCCGCTGCGCTTACTTTAGCATTTGTGTGATTCTTATGGTCAACAGACTCTCCCACTAAATACAAATAGTGTACTATGTCTTCCTTGGCTGTAAGCTTCATGTCAACCAGAGTTCCGAAAGTTCACTTAGACCACAGATAACAGTTGGCGCCATTAGAGTTCAGACCAGCCAATCACCGTAAATGTTACTAGCCACATTAGTTCTGTGCTTACTAAGGGAAGATCGATAGGTTGCGTCGTACTACCCGCAGCTCTCTGCACATGTCCTTTTTCTGGGGTAAGCTCTATGAACAGCAAAGGAACCACATGAACAGAAGTCACCGATGTCTACGAACCGACTCCATAAGCCACAGTTTATTCCGCTTAGATATAAATTTGAGAGAAAATGTTTAGTTGTTGCATGCGATGCACTGGTTAGGCTGTCGCCCATTCCATTAGGTAGTCACTCTTCAAGGCAAGCGCTGTTAATATAACTTCAGACTGGGTCGCCTCAGAGCAATTGTAGAGGGGCCGCTTCCAAGAATGCCTCGGGGGAGCTCTTCGGAGCTAACTGAGAGCGGATCGAGAAGGACGGCTAGCGACGAGCCTGGGCCCGGAACTACGGAGCGGGAGTATGTGGACAGCGCAAGAAATCAGACATATACGCCGCTAGCGCAGCCCACAGGACCGAGGCCGCGCCGATTGACACAGCCCAGAACAAGCAAGTCGAGAGCTCTCGAACGACTCCTGGCCGATCCAAATCGGGTACAGAGAAGTGGAGATCGAGGCGAAAACAGGAAGGCGGGTCTTCCAAGTCAGAGCTCCCGAGGCGAAAGGACAAGCTCGTCTCTAACATCCGCACCTGTGTTGCGTTGTGGGACGGAAATCTAGTCGATATTCGATGGCGTGCGTGAGACCCTCATGTGCCCATTTTCGGTGTGCAATAAACGTCTACCCCCCTGTCGTGTCGTTCTCGCTACACAATGCCTGGCAGCTTTCTAAAATCAATGGTCGAGACGTACACCTCAGGTCGGCACTCACCTTGTCAAAAGGCACTTCGAAGTTGGTCTGTATTGCGAATCACACTGGAATTAACACCAGGAAGATGAGAACATGCACACTGGCAAACCTATAACATGAACTGGGGGAGGATTAAACAACTTTGGCTCACCTGCAGCTGCACTAGAGCAGTGATGTAAATGCGGCTGGAAACAGCGAATCTCGTCTGCACCGACACGTACTAATACACATTCCACGTCTTCTCCTTAAAGCAGGCGTGTCAAGAAGTCGTTAATATGCCAAAACCGGACCCATCATTCAAATTAAAGACAGTAGTCAACCTACGAATCGGTTTGCAGTCTTAATGACAAAGGGCGGTGACGTGCAGAAACGGTACAGCGTAGCAGTTTGCTAATCGGTAGTCTATCAACGGTAAACTCGATAATCCTGAAGTGTCAAGAATATGCTAATGATGTGAAGTGGAAAGGTAAGATGTTTCATAAAGCATGTTCGAAGCAATGAGTGTGTAAATTTATGTAAGAAAATAAGTGAAGGGTTTATGAAAAGGGATATTATCTCCTCAAATTGGTTACCCAGTTTGGCTGAATAAGCAAAGTTCCCCCTGAACTTTATGTGTATGATGACAGGAGCCTGTGTACATCTGCATCTGAAATTCTTTGTTACGAATTAAAATGCTTCCACTCAATACAACAGTAGCATTTGTGCTTTGGTTAGACCATGCCAATGGATCTTGTCATTCAATGTCAACTCATGTTGCTCACAGCCTGACAACACCACAAAGTATGTGCATACATCCATTTCGCATTTATTCGATTATCAATGTAGTGTGCATATCGGTAATTTGGTCGCGTCCCTTTAGCGAGTGAGACCGGACCACTTCTGCCGGGGCAGCCTACGG